CTTTGTCTCCTTGGTTTCCAGTCCACACTTGGGGCACGGGATCGCTTGTCCTTTACTGTATTTAACCCCCTTCCTTCGGACATGGTCATCACAAAAGCATGTCTGAAATCACAGCCAGCAAAAAACAATTTATAAAATCTAGCTAAAAAAGCCAAAGAAAATTTATCAATTGAAACTATGGTTTGACAGAAATATTTAAAATTAATAAAAACATGTACAAACACTGAATTTAAAATATAAAGGTTTACCTTGCACCTAAGGCATGAGTACTGTCCAAGCTTATTGCAGGACAAACCTTAAAAACAGAAAAATGATCAAGATCTTAAACAATATATCTACCACTTAATTAAAGATTCTAGCTTTGAAAGAAATCAATGCCTTATAAAGTTGCTACCTATATGGCATCAGCTTAGAGTAAAAGCATTTGTAAGAATTAGACTAATAAGGTCCTAAAAATGCTGTATTAGTGTAAAATAACAATGAAATTTTGAAAACACAGCAGAACTGTCAAAGAACTTTGAGATAGTCAAACTGAAGTAATAAATTCCTGGTCAAAAATTTCAAAGTCTAATATGTTAGCAAAAACACCCCGCAGTGTTAGTTGTCTGAAGATAGAATAATCACTGATTGATCTTACATTTGAAGTTTTCCGAATCCAGTTGTTGGCAGCTAGCTTGGTGCTCAAACTGATCGTCTTCACAGAGAAACTTCTTACAATAGGAACACTTGAAAATTCTACCACCTAAATATAGCAAAACACAGAGAAAACTTGTACAATAGGAACACTTGAAAATTCTACCACCTATATATAGCAAAACATAGAGAAAATTTGTACAATAGGAACACTTGAAAATTCTATCACCTATATATAATAAAACACAGAGAAACTTTGTACAATAGGAACATTTGAAAATTCCACCACAAAAATTAAGCAAGACATAAATATACATGTTTATAACTGTATTAGAGGAAGAGCTTTATAAGGGTTTGGATACTCAGTATCTGAAGATGTTAGATAATGTTAGTGTTATAACGAAGGTGTTTGGCTTGGCATCATACTGTAGATTCCTAATTATACGCGAGGAATTAATTTCCGCGTAATTTCGCGAGAAGCGTCACTCGCGAAAAAATATTACTCGCTTTTATTTTTATGGTGCTGAAATCTATGTAAATTCTGTTGATCTACCGTCCTTTCGCGAAATATAATTCTCGCGATTTAACGTGAAAGACCCAGTTCACGATAAAAAGTACTCGCAAAAAATAAGGAATCTACAGTATTACACAAGGAAATGCCATTACATTTTATAAACAGATTAGAATGACTTTGATAAAAAGTCTCCTTGTTCTGTTAAGGAAGCTTACCCTGCTCCCACACCCCCCTTTTACACTCGCAGCACTGAGCATCCGTTAGAGGACAGGTACAGGCATGGACAGATAGGCACCGCGTACCGTGACACACCCAGGCCTCACAGAAATCACAGATCGCACCCTGTAACAGATATCAAGACTATTCTGATAGAAATTTATACTACAAAGAACAGCATTCTTCATGTTGAAATTGGAGGCAATGACATAAATAATATATTTTGTTTAATTTCAGCTGACTATAACTTACCACCATTGCAAGCCCAGTTGTATTTGTTCCGGAATGTTTTATGCAACAGTCACCGAATTTTGCCATACATTTTTGTTTACCTTTAATAAAATATAACATAATCAAACTAAACTAGAACTGTCCGGGACAAAATACCCCCCGCTGGGTTTTTCAGAAGTGCTAAATCATGAATATTTTATGGATCTAAGAGAAAAGAGAAATGCTAAAACATTTTAGTGCAAATGTAATTGCTCTTTATATTTTTTATAAATGAAATGAAGGCGCAGCCTAATAAAAAAAAAAAAGACTAAATATACGGACCAGACATGAATTATGAACTCTTTCTGTCAGTGACCTTGAACTTGCATAAATGACCTTAGTTCAAAGTCATGACACAACCTCAGGTCATAAGCAATGTTTGTGTGAAGTAGTAGATTCAAGTTTTTCCATAATAAAGAAAGATATGGACCGGACACGAATTATAAAATTTTTCTTCCTGTGACCTTGAACTTCCCTAAATGACCTTGACCCAAGATCATGACACCCTTAGGTCAGGAGGAAACTTTGTGTGAAATGAGAACCTACCAAGTTTATCCATACGAAAGATATGGACCGGACACGAATTATGAATTTTTTCTTCCAGTGACCTTGAACTTCCCCAAATGACCTTGGGTCAAGGTCATGACACACCCTTAGGTCAGGAGGAAACTTTGTGTGAAATTAGAACCTACCAAGATTATCCATAAGAAAGATATGGACCGGACACGAATTATGAAATTTTCTTCCAGTGACCTTGAACTTCCCCAAATGACCTTGGGTCAAGGTCATGACACACCCTTAGGTCAGGAGGAATCTTTGTGTGAAATTAGAATCTACCAAGATTATCCATAAGAAAGATATGGACCGGACACAAATTATGAATTTTTTCTTCCAGTGACCTTGAACTTCCCCAAATGACCTTGGGTCAAGGTCGTGACACACCCTTAGGTCATGTGCAATCTTTGTATGAAATTAGAAGCTACCAAGTTTATCCATAAGACAGATATGGACCAGACATGAATTATGAAACTTTCTTCCAGTGACCTTGAACTTCCCCAAATGACCTTGGGTCAAGGTCAAGACACACCCTTAGGTCATGTGCAATCTTTGTGTGGAGTAGTAGATTCTAATGTTCCTCCGTAAGAAAGATATGGACCGGAAACGTTTGCACAGACAGACGGACAAGGTGATTCCTATATACCTCCCCCCCCCCCAAAACTTTGTTTGCAGGGGTATAATTACCAAGTCTAAAATCAGTTTACTAATATTTTACATGTATGATAAATAGAGAATAATACATATACCCTTTTCCATATCACATCCTGTATCAGCCCGAGACACCAATATCAGCCAGAGGGCTGAAGGCCCAAGGGCTGATATTGATCGTGGGCTGATACAGGATGTGGTGTGGAAAAGGGTATGTTTTATTATATTTATTACATACTTAGTAATAAAATACAGAACACATTAAGTTAAGAAGAAAATAATCATGCACAGACTTCTTAAAATGTACACAGTCTATTGTATCATACAGTTTCAGTTTGTTTTTGCATGTACTTCTATTTCAAATGTCCTCAATCCGTAATTTTAAAATAATTTATCATTTATCAGTTAGATTATCATTACATTCAAAAAGTTAAAATAAAGAAGATGTAACCCCCAAAATATGTGTATGATCAAAAGTACTGTTTTTTGAGGTTTAATTTACTAGGTGTGTGATATTGATCTACATCAGCCCCACAAATCCATATCAGCCCTGCAGGGCTGATATGGCTATAATGACGTCAACCTTATCGCATATGCAAAAATCCTGTATTTATTACTAAGTATGTAATAAATCATGATATTTAATACACAGCTAGGTATTAATGAAGTAAAAACTGTATTTAAATTCTTTCTTTTGTCTTCAGAAATCTCTCTCTCTATACTTGGTTCAATAGCATATACATGTATTTTGAAATATATGTTTTGAACTGTACATGGGGATGAAAATACAAAGGCTCTATGTAAATCTTTAATTATAAACTATGACATGAACTACATTTCTACATACAGCTTACCACAATGTCCACACACAGGAAGTCTTTGTAACGCTGAACAAAAATAACAGAATGCTCTATTCTTCTGGGATCTGTGGGAAATATCAAAGATCTTGATCAGGTTTCAAAAAGATGGACAAGTGAATTAATATAATGTCTTTGTTTTAATAAATTAATTAACAAGAAAAAAACAGCTTCCACATCAGAACTACAAGTTAGGTAAATCACAAAAAAATCTTTAACATCTAACTAGGTCTTAACAAACTTCATCAGCATTTTCCAGTAACCATTTGCATTTTTCTTATAATTTAAACTAAAACATGATTAGTATCTGAACTCACATGTGAAAATAAGTAAAGATATTGAAAATTCATTACCGTTTACATTGATCACACTCCTGAAAAGAGACAAAATCATTCATAAATCTGTTTGTCAGAAATGTTTATAGGCCTAAATGATAACATAAAGTAACTAAAATTTCTAATCCATTGGACAGGTCCAGAACAATCTCTTCTTTTGGCTATATTCCCCATTTTCAAAAGGTGAGTTATTTCCCCTGAAGGGAACTCTTTTACTGTGTTAAATACGCATGCGCTATAAATAAAGTCACTTCCGCGGACGTTCTTGATGAAACATGTTCATAGTGTAATGCCTCCGTCATATGGAAAAATGATATTGTGTTTGTGAATAAAAAGAAATCTTAACTGATTCGTATTTTTCTTAAATTGCCCACTCATAGTCTATTTTTGGATTTGTATTAATATGCATAGTAGTATAATAAAGCGCTGTGTGAGCCCCCCCTCTCTCCCCCCCCATCCCCAAAAAAAGAGAAAAGAAAAAAATTACCGATAAAATGCGAATAGGCCTATTTAAAAAAAAAATTAAAAAAATTTTTAAAAGCTGATTTTCTGTAGAGGATGTTCTGCAGACGGATCATCATTATTTACAAAATGTGCAGAACAAATGTAAAAATTTTTAGTTTTTACGAATTAATCTAGCCTTTTGCAGCCATATTTTCTTCTCTGCATCTCTAGGAATTTTTTGGAGATTTCATTTGAATTAACCGTGTTTTCAGAATTTTTAAGTTGTAAAAAAATCGATTCACTGCATATATAGTATTAAAACTTTTAATGGAATTCTAAATGAATAATTTATGTAACGAAGAAAGACTAATTAAAATAGCATCTACCTGAATTCGTGTTACATATGTCGTATAAAGTCTGAGCTGCATTTAATAAAAGTTTTAGTACAGGATCTAAGCATATCTACATGCATATTCCCAAGTAAAATACACATTTGTTTTAGATCAGAGAATTGACAGCAGAAACACGAAATTGATACAATTTCCTAGCGTACATGTATTTCTTGTTAATTAACGGAAAACATTCTTTTCTCAAGTGTTATTTATGTTCTACTTTTTCTATTGAAAATGTTCATTGAAAGACAGGTTGCCACCCCCCCCCCCCCAACACACACACAGTTCATACTACGGTAAAGTTATATAAGGGAAATGTAGTATTGTATGCCAAGGAACTGGTACTGAAATAAGTAGCTTTTCGACTTTAGGCAAGGTTTTTCTTTGCTAGTCAACTTTTCCAGGTACGAAAAAACATATTTCTTTGGCTGCCCCCCCCCCCCATCTTTTAAAGACGATGCTACGTGCCTGGCTAATTCGTATAGCTTTCTAGAAAGGGGGGGGGGGGCAAGAGACCCTTTATAAAGTCGCTTATTATGTAAAAAAAAAATTGCAAACCGTTTCTTTCTTTTAAAATTTTTAATGCAGCGTGTAAGTTGATCACTATTTTGTTGGATTATCGTAACGTGTAGTCCGCGGAAGTCATGCTAGTGTAGAAGAGTTCCGATTTTGAGGGGAGATAACTCACTTTTGAAAATGGGGAATAGTATATAAAGCTATTCAAAATAACTTGATAAGGCTTTTTATATGCCCTTTTCACAAAAATATTTTTTTCATAAAGAAACAAAAATAGCAAGTATTTGATCAATGTTCATATAACTACAAAAAACTATTACATATGCAATCTAAATCAAAGATACTTCTAACACTGTAGATTTTGAATACTTTTAGGAAAAAGATGCATTTACAATGTTTGAGTACATTGTGTGCATTGAAGCATGGATGGAAGTATGATTGTTTCTCATAATTGTTGAATTATTACCAATCAATACTCTTGATAATAATAACTGACCCCTTTCATAAATTGATAATTTCATTCAAGTTATAGTACTTATAATAATATAGCCCCAAAACTTAAATAAGAATTTTGATTACAAAACCTCTCAAGGAGACACAATTTGATGACTGATTTTTACATACAATGTTTTCAGAATACTTCAAGGTTGCACCACAGTGTAACTTTTTGTACATTCTGAAAAAATTAAATAACCTGTCTTAAAAAAAGTGAAATGAAATGTAACAGAGACAATTTTGTGCCTCTGCTGGGGATTGAACCCAGGGCCTCTGGTTTAAAGGTTAACCCTTATGCTTAATTTGTAGAGCACTGGACTGGCAAGCCAGAGCCCCGGGTTCAATCCCAAGCAGAGGCACAAAATTTTCTCTGTTTCATTTGGCACCCACAATGGGACCCAGCTGTTCTCTTGCAGGTGAGAGTGATTGTCCTTAGAACTTTGCCCTACAGGTGTCGGCACTCCAAAAGAGATGAAGATATCTCATTCTCTGGAGGGGGAGATAATCTCAGCGAGATGTCGTAGGGACTAAAATATTTGGTCGGACGTCCACTACGACATCTCAGTCCACTTCCACACAACTTGATTAGGGATTTTTTGCTCAGATTTCGACAGGTTGTTTCAATCAATACGGGCTGAAATGAATTATCTGCTCGCTTCAACTTTTTCCTTTGAACATCCCTTTAAGTCTCTATCAGGGCTCTCGATGCTCTAAAATTGGGGCCGTTCAACAGCCCCGTGCCCAATGCAAAAAAGGTACCTTTTTTCCCAAAAGAAAGGTGTAAATTTCCCAATTTCCATCCAGAGTAAAATATTAATTAAAAAATAAAAGTCCATCAAACCTAATCGCAAAAAAAACCCAAACAAAACACATTTGCAAATGAAAGTGAAACTGTACTACTATTTTATTAGTTCGCGCCAAATGTTCGGGGAACCAGGTTATTGTTTTTACAAAAATGTATACAACTATGAGTGCAGAGTATCTTGTTATGTCGTTTCGACAAAAACCAGTATTTTGGTTTTAAAAATAGACATTTCATTTAAACATTAGTAAGCTGCACCTAGAAACATACCCGCGCTTCGGCATGTTCAGTCTCGCGCTGTATTGGTAAGCAAAGTTGCCCATGTGATCGAGGAAATTCGGGACTATGTGACTAGCGATTGTCACGCAGTAAGACATATAATCGCAATATCAACACTCAAAGATAGTAATGACAAAGCTAATGTACTTTCATAAATAGCCTACGTACCCATGTTTGTTCTGTTTAACTAATTATTCAAACCAGAGTTAGCATTGATGATAAAATGCTAGAAAAGCAAAATTTGAGGATTTTTTTTTAATGAATTTGTGTTATCCAACTTTTCCCAAAATGACGATAATTTTCCCAATTTGAACGGCCCCGGCCCCAGTCCCAAAAAGTGGTGTGAGAGCCCTGTCTATCATGATAAAACTTTCCTTTCTTACCTTTAAAATGTTTAAATCCAACAAAATATAAAGTTGTTTGTTTTTCCTCTGTAATGTCCAATTCATTTAAACCTCCGATGTTGAAGAGTTCCAAAATAGTCTGCTTTGAATAATTCGTACTATAGTTCATTCCTATAGGAAATAGTAGTAGAACGAATAATTCAAAGCAGACTATTGTGGAACTCTTCAACATCGGAGGTTTAAATGAATTGGACATTACAGAGGAAAAGTAAACAACTTTATATTTTGTTGGATTTAAACATTTTAAAGGTAAGAAAGGAAAGTTTTATCGTGATAGAGACTTAAAGGGATGTTCAAAGGAAAAAGTTGAAGCGAGCAGATAATTCATTTCAGCCCGTATTGATTGAAACAACCTGTCGAAATCTGAGTAAAAAATCCCTAATCAAGTTGTGTGGAAGTGGACTGAGATGTCGTAGTGGACGTCCGACCAAATATTTTAGTCCCTACGACATCTCGCTGAGATTAAATCCCAAGCAGAGGCAAAAAATTGTCTCTGTTTCAGAAACGCTTAATCAAGCTATTCTGAATAGCTTATTAAAGCTATATATCCAAATCAAGGAGAATATAGCGGACCTGTTAGAGAGCACTCTGGTAAGAAACACGTTTCAACACTTTAACCTAATGTAGACTAATCGCAACACTTAATGATAATGCTCTGTTTTTTTTGTTTTTTTTTTTTTTTTAGAATTTTTCATAATCATCGGTAAATTTTTATCAGCTGCTTTGTTACATTGAAAGGAACTGTCAAACGTTTCCGAGGAAATTCGAAATAAACACATGCTTATTACAGTTTCTTCACATGTGACTTACCATGAGGAAATTGCACGGCATCTGTGCTAAAGATTTTTCTGCGTTTCTCATCTCTTTCTGTCTCTCTTTTTGTTTCTCTGCCTTCTTTCGCTGTCCTGTCTTTTTCTTCGGCATTTTGACAAATACTTTCCCGAGAGTGACAGTTCTCTACAAGAGTTCACTGCCCTTCTTGCTAGCAACTTCCGTTTGAAATTTATTGAATAGTTCATCCCATTTAAATTCGGATGGGAAAGTGGAAAGACTGAACGGAAACTATCTGTAATATGGAACGGGTATTATTTTAAATAGTGATTAACTGATTATTTATGTCTATTTTTAAAACCTTTGTGAAAACTTAAGATGATTGAAAATATTGTTATATTTGTTTTAACATGTGTACACTTCATGTATAAACAAAATGGTTATTTCAAGTTAATAATTGTGCTACCTTTACCTTTTTATAAACTTCTACAAAAAGACAGTTCTCAATAAACATTAATTAACTATTCATTTAGAAAAAAATACTACCATGTGCAAATGAGACACAGTTAGATTATTCTAACTAATGACCCCCCCCCCCCATCCGAAGATTAGATTTTGTGATACGAAATACTTTGGTATGTCGTAACTTTTTCCTTTCCCTTACTGCACATGCGCGATTCTTTAACATAAACAGGAAATCGCCCGAAAATAGATTAGGGGGGCCTGTCAAATATTGTAAGTTGCAACAACGTTTGACGACAAATGAAATAATGGGTTTGGAGCCTTTAGAGTTTGCCGAATGCTTGACAGACAGTCCTTCCTTCAGGGAAAAACTACATGATCACGAAAAAGAGCTTGATAGGACAAATAAGGCCATCAAGTCTCTGGTGAATGATGGCAAGGAACTTGTCAATGCAGCCAAACGTAAGACATTAACTGGTGTCTGAATATTTATTGTGCATTTATTTATTTATTTCATTAATAATATTTATGTAACTTTTCTGTATGGGCAACAAATTAATAGTGCAAATGATTTTGCAATATGCACGGAGGTGTGTCCCGCAATGTGCTAATAAGGTGGAAAAAAAATTACAGGTAGCAATTTCAGTGGCATTTGAATAATGTCCTTCTTAACAATTCTCATTTGGTATGTAAAATCTGAAAAGGCTGCAGAAAAAACATAATTACCCTTAATTATTTTTAAAATACATTTTATAACAGCACAATGTGCAATGTGCAATTTAAAAGCATCCATTCTTCAATACTCCTTTGATTTACTTCTACTGTACCTTAAGTAAAGAAAATACTTCTGCTAAAATGTCACTTGTTTAATGTTTGAAATAATCTAACATAAGGGTTGTTTTCACCACTTAAGATTTTAAGAAATAAGTTAATGTATACAATTTTATATGTGATAGACAGGAAATGTAGAGGTAAATACATGGTGAATATGAGTCACAGGTCATTTAGGGACCACCTGCTAAAACTTGGATCAGGATTGATATACATGCAAATACCTTGTGTGGTAAATAATTCATCGATGAACCACTAATTATTAAGTAAATAAAACCATTTTAAAATATTTTTTTAAGGTTTGCTATCATCATGAGTTCTGCAGTAGTTGTTAATTTATATAATTTTTGGCATTCAAAATTCTAATAAATAATTCTAATAAAAATTGTCTAAAAAAGATTAAGCATGCAAAGAAAAAGTGCTGGTTTTAACATTTTGTATTTTCACTTTTGAGAGGTTACCCACATCATTACTAAGTGGATCAACTCTATAACTTAAGAGCTATGGTTTCCTTATCTTCTTTCCATACTTGAAGTTTATATTATTGAACTTTGCATATTCTTAGAGTAGGCAAGCCCTACATTTTCAGTTTTTAGAAGCATAAAAGCCATGAAGATTTTTTTTAAAGTCTTGGATTCTTTTTTGCATTTTAGATTAGCAAATTGTTGATTAGTAATTGCATGGTAATAGCTACACAAGTACAATAGTAAGTCCATAAGTACTGAAACATATAGATAGTGAAACATCTGTGATATATTTTAAGCTGTTTATTCATGAAAAATGAGGAAATAATTCATATCCCACTCATCCTAAGTGTGCAGGCCTATAGCAACATCATCAGTCAAGATACACACACTTATAATTCACTGCTTAATCTGACAATGGCACTTTGTGTTAAAAAAGGAAATGAAATCTTGCCCTGGTTGATTGCATTTTTATCAGATGTGTGTTATAAGAATATCACATGTTTGTATAATATTACGTTTTGTTTCCTGATGTTCTCTCTGTCTGACTGTTATCTGAATGATTTTATAGGAGCAAATCATATGATTTATAGATTCATGACTGTAATAAAATAGAGAAAGAAAAGACATGCATATTTCAGCATCGAAAATATTTCATTTTAAAGCAGATATTTTGTGGTGAAATCAGTGTTTTTCATGACCCCAAATCACAGCCTAGGAAAGTGTCTATTTCCTACAGATTTTAATGTACAATTCCTTGCAAAACTGAGGAAAAAAGTCTGTGTTTAAAATATCCACATGAAACACTGGAGACAAAATTAATTTATAATGAAAGTATTGAGACTCTTTAGTCTTAAAATAAACACTTGAAAAAATAACAAAGTTGATTTTCATTTTCAGAAATGGGTAAAGCATGGCAAAGTTTTGCACAGAAAATGATGGATTTCAAATTTGAGTGCATTGGAGAAAAACTGACAGATGATGAAGAAAAAATAGGTAAAGATATGAAATGGTCAAGAATAAACAGTTACACTGAAAGGGCTGTCAATGCAAACTACATGGGAACAGTGGCATTTTTGTTATTTTGAACAATATTAGCTGCAGAACTGTAGCTCTCCAGGAAAAAATATATTGACTGACCCGAGAGCTACAGTGCCACCCATGGAAAAAACTGTATATTTATATTCTGCACCTAGAAAAACAATAAATATTCATATCTTATATACCAACAATGCTAAAATATTTATTTTAAAAAGTACAGGTTAAATTAAATGTGGTTTTGATTTTTTGGATTTGAATTATTAGTAAAAATCACATACTTACAAGGTCCCAGAAGGGTACAGAGCCCATGAGGGTTAAAATATGATATATTTTGTTATAAAGTACATGTATTTAGATTTAAATGATTATTCAATGAGTTTCCCTTGAACAATTCATTCAGTGCAGCTTAATGAAATAAAATATATGAACACTTTTAAATAATAATTTCAACTAATTCATCAAACTTTACAAATCTACAAGAAAAATTCTTAATTACATTTTTCTAGAATTAATTTTTTGAATTTGAACTACTTCTCGACTAATAGGCATTCAAGTACATTGTCGTAGTGTTTGTGACATTATTATAGTATAATGGTGAACATATATACGGTATGTGAATTATACATATGTATTTTAAAGCTGGTTCCTTAAAGGAGTTTGGGAAGCTGATATTGAGAGTTGAAGAGGAGAGAGATAGAATGGTATCTTATTTATATTGCCATATAATTATCTTCTTTTTCATGTTATTTTTAACCTTTCCTGTAAGATATACAACCTTAGGAAACATTTGTTTCTTTTAATTGTACGGAAAAGTACCCTAGAAAAGTAATATATTTCTTTTGTTTATTTTAATTTCTTGATGATCTATTTTAGTTGTCAAAGGTGACAGACTTTTTCCAGCAATTGGACAAATTCAGGAAGGATCAGATAGGTTCAGTCAAGGTGAGTAAAACATTAAATTGAAACTGAGAGATACAGGTGTGGCTTAATCTAGTCAGGTCTGTGTTCACTGTTTAGGTTATATAAAGGGAATTATGCACTTAAAATTAGTTACTTTATTTTGATTTAAATTTTTCAAATGCCATTGTATCTGAAATTGTTTTGCACAATTTTATAAATTTCTTAAAGGAGGAGAAGAAAGCCTTTGATAGACATACGGCCAAAATCTGCCAGTCTTTGGAGAGATATCTAAACCTGAAGTCCAAAATGAATGACAACACCCTCCAAGAGGTATAAAAACTTTAATTTGGTAAAAAGAGAAAAATGTGAACATTTGGCATTTTTTATTTTGATCTGATGGGGGAAAGGTTTAATAATGTATTGTATTAACGTTCAGGCTGATGCCACTCTTGAGATGGAATTCCGAAGCTTTAGAGAATGCTCCATGAAATATGTCCTTAAATTACAAGAGGTTCAGGAAAGAAAGAAATTTGATTTTGTAGAAACAGTGAGTATGGAAGTAATCATAAAAGAGTTGTTTTAATGTGAAGGAGTGCATTAACTACTCAGACTAGCATTTCAATAGAATCTGAATTTAACAATTATACACTTCAAAACAATTTTTAAAAAGATATCAAAGTGATATTTTCTCTCTTACAGATTTTAGCCTTTATGTATAGTTTGTTCACATTTTACCACCAAGGTAAGAGATGCCTGTTAAAATTATGTATTTAAATTTTAATTCCAATGAAAATATTTACTGGAGTATATGCCTGTATGTATTGCAGTAACATTGTGTTTTGATTATTTACAATGTAGGTTTTGATGCCAGTAATGAACTCAAAGAGTCCTCTATGCATCTCCAGAAAATCCTTCAGAAGGTAAAACGAACAGAATTTTTAATAATAAAAATGTAAAAATAGATCACAGTATGCGCTTTCTTTGTAATGCAGAAAAATTACAAGAGGCGTCAGATGAAATTTCTGTACATTAATAATCTATTTTCTTTCAGACACGGGAAAGTTTTGAAAGTCAAAAGGAATACACAGAGACTTTGATGTTTAAGATGTTGGACAATCGGGTGAGTAGGTTATCTCCCTTAGAGTAGATTGTGCTTTCCAGTATAAACATGACACACAAACATATACTCAGGACTGACACATGTACACATTAGTACATGTACTATATATTTTGTAGTTGGTTATGGAAAACAATTATTCATTAACAGGAAAATACAATGGAAAAGGTATTTAATGCAATGCACAAATATTTTTTTTTTTTGCATGTGCCAAAATTTATTTCACAATTCAGTCTCTTCTTACATATCAGATTGGTTTATGATTTTAAGTTCTTATTTTTACCTGAAGTGGCACAATATAATACAAATTTACCTGATAGATAATTATCTTTGATGATAAAGCTCAAAAACATTTGTTTTATTTAAAGAGATACTTCAACAAAAATTTGTATTTGTTTTGAAGCTTGTAGAAATGTTTTACAAGTGATATTTTCAAGAAATTGATACTTGTTCTTTCTAGCATTCAAAAATTTGCTTTGCTTTGCTTTTACCAAAAAATGTGTTACATCTTTGGTTTTAGAGGTAGTCATGTAATAAAAAAATTAATTTGATCATCATCAAGTGCATCTTAAATCTAGAATCTGTACTTCTGGTTTTTTTTTGTTACTTTTTGAAATGAACATTTATACATGTATATATGGTGCACTGAAACTCATTCTCATCAGAAATGTTATTACCACACTGGTCAGCTGTTTAATTGACCTATTTTAGTCAATACTTTGGGTGAGTACTTTAAGCACATTGCACAATGGGCCATGACATATTTTTCAGATTTTACTTGTCTTTTTCGTTTGCAATTATAAAAACTCAATTGATTTAGTAAAAATAATGCAAATGCCTATATAAGTACATGCATAATTAGCTGTACATGTATATTAAATAAGTACAAATGACTTTCATTCTTTAAATATATATATATTTTATAATGGAACTTGTTTTCATTTTAATTTATGCTTGGGTGATGGATCTTGATGATAATTGTAGTCACTCTACGTGAAGGATGTAGAATTAACAAGTTTTGACTTTTGCTATATGTAGAGAATTTGTTTTATAAAGATTAATCTGTTTTGGTCTTAGCTCTCATGATAGATGCTTAAAGTTGTTAAGTACAAGTATATTTTCAATTCCTATCTGTTTGTCAGCAAATGCAGTATTATTTCTTTATTCACCAATCTCCTTGACTAATTTAGAATTTTTATTGCAGAAACCTAGTGGGGTGACCCAGACCAACAAAGGCTGTACAAAAGAGGGATATCTGTACCTAATGGAGAAAAGTGAGAAGGAAATATGTCCTGTTGGGATGTCTTAATATTTGATGTACCTTTAGAAAACATAATTTTTTATGACATAATATTTATATTAGTAAAATCAGCCATGAAAGGAATACTGATTCATTATCATTACAGAGGTGATGGGGACGACCTGGACCAAATATTACTGCTGGTACAAGAAAGAGGGCAAGATATTTCACATGATGCCCTACAATCAGGTCACTGGAAAACTGGTAGGTGTAAAACATCAGCAAAGATTAAGGTCACTTGAGATACATGTATTTAGGTGAGATATTGATATCCTTCCCAGATGATGTGCATTTTTTGGAAACTTTGAAAGATTTCTGTTCTGAAAAGGCTGTGGCAGTTTTAGATAGTTTTGTAAAGCAGTATCAATGGAGAATGGAGGCTATATAGTCCTTTAGCCCTGGGGAGAAAATCATGAAAATTCATGCAATATTAAAAAATTCTCTACTCTTTTTATGCTGAACTTAGCAGAAAAAACTATTTTCATTAGTATTTATAAACATGTATCCATAGTGTATTAGAGGGTATGATAAAAAACCCCAAAGATATGCAGGTGACTTTCAAAGCCCATGGGCCTGTTGTCGTAAACATTTAACTTTAAATGGTTGTCCAAATAATTAACCTTTTTACTTTGTGAGTATTACGTTATGCTTTTTATTTATTAGAGCCAACCTGTTACTGAGAAGTTTACACTGAAATCTTGTATAAGGCGAGCCTCCCAGACTATCGACAAAAGATTCTGTTTTGACATCACTGTGGACGGAAGGTCAGTGTTTATGTTGCTTACTATAGACTACATGTACTAAAAGAAAAAAATGAGATTACATAACCAGTCTCTTTTCATTTTAATTTATATCTTAAATCATGAAATATTGCATATAAATCATCAAAGGAAAATGATTTAGTAGAAATAACGAGACAGAAAAAGAACTTGGTTCTTGTTCAGTACTTCTTAAGTTTCTCCTTCAGGGATAATTGGTGTCATCAACTTTGATATTTTCAATTATAAAGTCTGTTTGTTACCATCATAATTGTGACCTTTGACCTTGTAGGGCTGACACGCTGACATTCCAGGCCTTGTCGGATGATGACAGGAAGTTATGGATGGATGCCATGGATGGCCGGGAACCAGTATACACCACCCCAAACACTTCATCAGAGGACTGTATGTCTAAATATGTTTTAGTTTATATGATATAACCTTTATTTTTATGTTCAGATACCAGGTATTAACACATTATGTAAAAGTAATTATTTATACATGTGTAGCATATTGATTTATATAGGTAGAAAGGGTATTTTTACCATTTCATTTTTCTAGTATGTTCAGTAAATTGCAGATTGCTTAAAAGTTACATTTGTTATACCCATACTCACCAGTCCCAATATAATTTCTTAATTTAAAAAGTCCAACAGTTTGACTGTTTTCCCCAGCTGTCAGTCTAGGAACTGTAAAAATAGAATGTTAAAAAAGGCTGTTTCCCCGTGACGTCAAATGGCGCCAAACTGAGTTATCTTTTCATTCAGTAAAGGAGTATAACAAAACAGTTGTTGACAGGAGTCTCAAGAAACAGTTGACCTATGGCCTTGGACAACAGCTTGCACTCCAGTCCAACAGATCGACTGTTTCCCTCTACCCCAGTCAACAACTGTATAGTATTACAGACACAAATTACATTTGAATTTACATGTATTTCATTCATTTTTTAATTATTAATGATTTAAAAATTGATTTTTAAAGATTTGCAAATGCAGTGAAATCTTACCTGAGTAAACATTTTAAATATTTCCTTTCTTTTTTTTAGCTTCATTAGATGACATAGGATTTTCATTTATCAAACGATGTATAGCAGCTGTGGAATCTAGAGGTAGGAATTGCACTGCAGAGTTGTCAAGATTTGTAAATCACTATCAGATATTTGGTCTGACAAAATCAAAGGTTCTGTCAGACTGGACAAAGTTTTTTTGTACCATATTCATAAAAATTTGTGGTGAACAGAAAGGAAAGAAAACTTCACTAGAATGCCTTTTATTTTCTTATTAAGCATATGATCTTTCTTTTCATAGGATTATAGAGTCTTTAATCAGAGACATAAATAACATGGTTAATGTCTGTTTTAACATTTGATAAACCAGCGTCATCATGCAGCCATCTTCACTGTTTTTCTCTCTTTTTTTTTAAATGTTCGTTTGACCATGCCAATGTTATCTTGAAAGATGTTGGCTCAGATAAACGTTCACCAGCCTTGCTGATATGGGCTGAATTGTTCTTTGCTGTACTTTGCAGGACTACAGGAGCAAGGCTTATATAGATTGGTGGGAGTTAACTCCAAAGTTAATAAGCTGATGTCCCAAGGCCTAGGTAAATCAGTCACAAGTCGTGATCAGAATTCCTCAGATTATATTATCAGTCAGTTTATATAAAAATTCTCCCATTTCTTACAGATCCAAAGAAAAGAGACAAAATTGATATTTGTGACCCAAACCAGTTTGAAATTAAGACTATAACAAGTGCTGTTAAAAATTATCTCAGGTAAGGCATGGGTAGATGATGTAAATTTTATAGACTAGGTTATGTGTTAATTGTTTAAATTTATATGATGCCTATAACAAGGGAAATCTGAATTTGGTCAGGAGGTAACTCACACATTCTTATGACAATGGAGAAAGTGAATGCTAGCATGGTTTTAGCTTTGTTTAATCTTTCATCGAACAGTATAGTTAGATCCATGTAAAAACTACTGAATTTGCTCATGGATTGGCAAGTGGAAATATTAAACTACCCTGACAGAGGAAAAATTTTAATGCTTCTTGTATTTTATTTGTATTTGATCCACTGCATATTTATTTGAGGTTCTTAGTTTAATGAGTACATGATTCATCCTAATATTTGTCATAAGTTCCTGGTTTTATGAGCAAAGTACAATGTATTTTGAATTTTCCTTTTCAGATCACTGCCAGAACCATTAATGACTTTCAAACTACACAAACCATTGATACAAGCTGCAAGTAAGTGACTGGGAAAGGGAGGTAATCCAGCCCTTTTAAATATATAATACAGCAAAATGTTAAATGTATTCTGTATGATTTCAGAATGTCGCGGTTCAGAAGGTAAATTTATAGGCATCTAGCGCTGGTTTTCTTCCTCTAAATACTATTTAACCACAACAAGTTAGGAAGTCTTAGCACTAAACAATGAGTCTTTGGTAGAATAATATAGTTTGAGATTACCATTGTCCTGATAATGGTTTTATAGTTGATGGGATTGGGATAACACTTTTTTTCTCCAAATTTTAATTAGCTCAACTAAGGTGAAAGTTTTAATCAGGCCTTCCTGATCAAAGTTGGCCTGTTGCTGTGTTTCATTGATATATTTTTGACTTCTCTAAAATCAACAGGTCATTATCCAGCAAACTTTTTCGGTGAAGGGGATTTAATTTTATTTGGTCACCTGAGTAAACTCAGGTGACCTAATGCTATCCGTTTTCATCCATCGTCGTCCGTCATGGGTCGTTTGTCGTGTGTTAACATTTGAACATTTTCAGCTTCTTCTCTGAAACCACTGAACCAATTTCAACCAAATTTGGCATATAGCATCTATGGGTGAAGGGGAACAAAAATTGTGAATTTCATTATCCCTGCCCCCCTAGGGCCTGGGGGGTGGGGCAAAAACCACTAAAATTAGTGCAATCTTTCAAAATCTTCCTCTGTGTTCCTGGACATCAAGCAGTCAAACTGTTGGTATAATTGTAATCAGCACTGAGTCCTCTACCAAAATTGTGAAATTCATGGCCCCAGGGTCAGGGGTTCTACAGTGTAGTGCTAGGGCGGGGCTAAATAGGTTATATAGTGAAAATGCATTATTTCTTTGAAATTCTTCTTTTCTACTCCTGGGCATTTAAATAAACTAACCAAGTGCATAGTTAAGTTGAAAATGACTGCTTCTTTGAAAATTATGAATCTAATGGCCCCAGGGTCAGGGGTTCTAGTGGTAGGGTAGGGCTTTGTAGATTATATAGTGAAGATGCAAAAACTCTTTGAAATTCTTCTTCTCTGTTCGTGGCCATTAAATAAACTAACCAAATGCATAGTTATGTTGAATAAGACTGCCTCTTCTCAAATTGTGAATCTAATGGCCCCATGGTCAGGGGTTCTAGTGGTAAGGTGGGGCTATATATGTAATATAGTAAAAAATGAATTATTTTTTTGAAAATCTTCTTTGCTTCTGAGTATTAAATCAACTAACCAAGTACATAGTTATGTTGAATAAGACTGCCTCTTCCAAAATTGTGAATTTCATGGCCCCTGGGTTGGGGGTTCTGGTGTTAGGGTGGAGCTTTATTGATTATATAATGAAAATGCATAAATTCTTTAAAAATTATCTTCTCTGTACCTGGGTATTTAACCTATAAACTATGTACAAAGTTATGAGGAGGAAGGATGCCTCTTTGAGATTTTTGAATTTCAGGGCCCCTGGGTCAGGGCTTCTTGTGTTAGGGCAGGGCTCTAATGTTTATGTAGTGAAAATGCATGGATTCTTTGAAAATCTTTTCCTTTGTTCCTGGGTATTATGCCAATGATCTTAGTATATATTTAAGACAAAGATGGTTTATATCCTGGCCCCTGGGACAGAGGTAAGATGTACTTTGAGGGGGGGGGGGGGGGTAACATAGTCAGAAAATAATTTAATGCTTTGAAATCTGCACTTTGGTATTAATCAACAACATGATAAATAAAATTTATAAAATTTCAAAATTTTGAAATATGTGGCCCCAGGGTCAGTGGTTCCTGTGGGATGGGGTGCACAAATGTGGACCCACCCTAATACAAGAAGCCCTGACCCAGGGGCCCTGACATACACAAAAAGTGGAAATGCATTTTCTCTGTGTTACTCTGATCTACCTCTGGGTATTAAGTAACCAGAGTAAGCATGCAGTGTATAGATATGATAAGCAATAGTGCCTCTTTGAAAATTGTGCATTTCATGGCCTCTGGTTTAAAACATGAATCAAATTCAATTGTTGGAAAGTTGTCGCATGATACTTAGGTGACCTATAAGGCCCATGGGCCTCTTGTTAGTAAACAAATCTTAAAATTTTCTTTCAAAACCTTGTAATGAAATAAATTGAAGCAAGAATTAGTCGTTCTGATAAGCAACAATCCCAATGTATTGTAAATTCATGGTTAGTGAAGCCCTAGGGGCAAACGTTGCTACAAAGAAAATTAGAATCGTACTTATTCATAAAACAGAGGAAAAAAATCTTAAACAGAAGGGACAAGGTTACTCAGGTGAGCATTATTGCCAATGGGTCTCTTGATTTGAAATGTTGAGTGGTGTAGATAAAGTTAATGATTTGACAAAGTGAAGAATAAAGTAAATGCATTGCTTAATTTTTGAGCATCACCTGTGGCTTTTGAGAACTGCTTACTACAATTTGCCCTCTCTTTTTATTATACAACATGCTTTGATACCGGTATCATTTGTATTGACATCAACATTTTATTCCGTCCCTATTGCCATCCGTCACCCATTCTGTCATATCAATGCATAAAGCTCATGACTTGGATGGACACATGTAAAAACCAAAAATATTTCCCCACTTTGAACACCTTGAACATAAATACTGAATTATGGATAAATTTTATTATTTAATAATACAGTATTTAAATAAAATGATACTAGGAATTGTACTCAAGACCTAAATATATTTAGCTATAGCTTTCAAAGAAAATTTACAACAGGAATTTATTGTTATATTTCTTCAAAGGCATTTGCTATACATATGAGTGTGATACTAACAATTTAAAGTAGAATCTTCATCAGTATGTTATGATTAAAGAAAAATTTTTAGTGAAAATTTTAAATCAATATTTCTCTGTAGAAAAATATAGCAAATACAAAATCTCAACAGAATAGCAGTATTTAGATACAAGATGTACAAGGTGAATGGTTTTATTTGTGGTTTAAATTCCTTTAAATGTCCATTTTCTTTTGTTTAGAACGAGAATCCAAAACTCTGCGTATCCATGACATCCACACCTTAATCCACAGACTGCCGCAGGCAAACTTTGAAATGCTGGACATCCTGATCGACCATTTAAGGAAGTATGTACTATTCATAAATATAGAGCAATTTCAGCACACATATTTAGTTCTACAAATTCTGTAGACAGGTAAATATATGACACTGGCAACATGAAAATAAAAAAGTATCCTTACCTGGGCAGAGTAAATGTTAATGCATAATTTTATTTGTATTGCATTTAACTACTTTATCAACTAAATTGCCACTGTATTTTCAGAATAGCCGAGTTCCAGGATAAGAACTTGATGACTGTAGCTAACCTTGGTGTTTGTTTTGGTCCGACGCTGATGAGGGCCGAGGAGGAATCGGTGGCAGCCATTATGGATATCAAGTTCCTCAACATCATTGTAGAGATCCTTATCAACAATTACGAGAGAGTACGTAACGTAAAGGTCTTCTTATCAAAAAATTATACATTTAACACAGATTGATTATTCAGAAATGTTTTAAGTACAGGTATTTACTGTAAAGTTGATTGTAAAACTCATTCCTGACATTGTTGATGTTGTAGATTTTCAAGACGCCACCAGAAGATGCGGACCCCAGTGAGATCCGCTGCCCTCTCCCTAGTGCCTCCCAATCAGTGACTGATAAATTCACCCCCGGGGTCAACCACACTTCCCTAGATGTATCTAGTCAAAACCAGCAGCCCCTCTACATCAACAAAGCCCCTCCTGTCCCCAATACAAGCACCCCCACCACCTATGTTCAGAAACCCAAGCTCCGATCAGTGGACATTTACAATCCAGATACCAAAAGTAATTTGAGAACAATCTTTAAACAGATGCAGTAAATGCAAACTTTATTTTCTAAACAGGGATGGGGTAATCGTAATCAGTAATCGTAATCAGCTGTAATCGATTACAGTTTGCCAAGTAATCATGAGTAATCAGTAATCACCCATTTTTCTGATTACAAGTAATCGTAATTTAATCAATTACTCTGAAAAAAGTCCTGTAATCATGATTACTTTTTGATTACTTTATGATTACGACTATTAAATCAAAGTTCATAAAATCATGATTTTTGATGATTTTCAGTGAATATTTTTCAGTGTTCAAAATTGTTTATTTAAAAAAGGTTACTATAAAATTATGAACTATATTTAATTAAGTATCTTCTTCTAATGCCTCCAGAAATGCTTATAATCAGGTCCATTGTCCAGGCAATGAGTAAGTTCTATCAGTTCCTTGCTATATTCAGTATACATATATAGTCATTTCAAAATACTTTAGCAGCTTGGCAATTCGCTATTTTTGACAAAATATATGTTTATTCTAATAGAAAATTACTACAGGATCATTTTAAAGTTTGATTTATTTTTGTTTCAATTAATCAACATGTGTGTGATGCAACAATTCGTTTTCCCTGGGAATCTTTGAAAATTTTATTTGTTTGATTTACAGTGTACATAAAAAGATAATGTGAATTAATTAGTCATAAGTAACAGGTATACTAAAGTTGGGTCAGCCTGAGTAATAACAATTATTGAACTAAGGGGTAACCATGCTTGACCAGTCAATGTGTTAATTCTAGTAAAAACATTTAATAATTGGCAGTTTTATTGAAAAGTCCATCACTCTTCAAGGAGGTGAATTACTTGTGTAACAGTTCCCGATCAAATTCCTTTATCCCTACCTATAATTATGTCCAGTTTGATTTATAAAAAAAAAACTATAATAAATTCTTTTTTCTAATTCTTTCAACAGTAACAAGATATTTACTTGTATTGAAGAAAGAAATTAGGTGAATTAAGCTAAATCTCATGTATCTATATAAAGACATATACAACCAAACTTTGTCTGAATTCTACCTTAAAAATGTTTTAATGGTATTTGAAAAAGGAAGAATAAAAACATGACATTGTCCTTGAATATTAAACAAAAAAATTAAATGTAATCTAAAGTAATCATAAGCAATCGTGATTAAATGAAAGAAAAGTAATCAGATGTAATTGATTACTTTGAAAAATGTCTGTAATCAAATTGTAATCAATTACTTTTAAAATGCAAAGTAATTGTAATTTAATCGATTACTTTTGAAAGTAATCGACCCCAACCCTGTTTCTAAACAAGTTTTAGTCATCTAAGATAAAAAAAAATAGAGCAACAAGGGCTACTCCTGTTGTAATGCTGAAAACTACACAAGATATGTAATAAATCAGTAATATATATACTATATATAAATAAACAGAAGGTACAGATTTATTTGATATTATAGGAAAGGGAAAACAGAATTCCAACAGAATTTTTTTTTTCTTCAGATTTTAACTATGTTTTTTTATTTCCAGGTTTTGAGACTCATGGGAGCAGTAGCGACAGTTCCGAGTCCCTGAACTCCAGTCTGTCTAACAGTGCCTCCGCAATGTCATCCCCCCTCCCACAGTTCGACAGTCACAAGAAACACCCAGCTCCAGCCATACCGGGAAACACTCAGTACAGTAATGTATCGGGATTAGGTGAGGCTGACAAATAAATCATATCACTTGTGTACATTAATTGTCAGAGTTAATATGTGTATAATCTGTTAACTTTGTTGAGAAAGTTCAAAATGAAAGTCAATATTATAGAAGTCAAAAGGAAATAGTTTGTGAACTTTTTCGTTACAGCAAACAAATTTATGAATGACCTATCAGGATCAGATGTTCCTACATTGTAAGTATTTATTCCTAACTATGTAGTGTTATGAATGCCCCAAGACCTGCATTAAACACACAGAACTGTTTACCTTAAGACACTCTTGACTTAACTATTCACCCCACCCAAAATAAAACAGCTTTATAATGGTGACACTACCTCTTAAGACTGATAGCTTTACATGATGAAGTGTAGATGAAGAAGGGATTCCTTACACAAACCAGAATTTTTAGAGTATTAGGGAGAGGCTTTTATTTCTGACATGTATATTATGTAAATATTGGTGATCACAGAGGGGTGAGGATAATTTTTTTTTTCTGTGCTGTAATCCTTTTATTATCTCCCAGTGACCAGTCACTACGCAGATCTCTGTGGATTTCATCCAAAACCAAAATGTTTGAGAGGTATATAGCAGAATGAATGGTGAACTTGATAACTGTCTATGATAAAATGTGAATGACGTTAGAATAACAGGATGTCACATGAATGTTTTCTTAATGAGAGGAGTGTTTGAGTGGAATTCTCTCTAGAGAATGTCTACAAGCTGTTGTCATAACAAAGGAATGGACAGATTTCCCAGCTTCTATTTTTGATTCTGTGAAGTCTTTGACAGAAAAAATCCCTTGCATCCTGTAACAAATTACTAACCTCACCTTACTACACTCTTCCTGGTTCACAGCACGTACTGTCTCCCCACTTCCTGGTGTCACAGTCCACTTCCTGAATGGTGTCACTTTTTAAAATAATTTGCTGTTTTGCCTCAAACAGAAATTAACTTTTGTTTTCTTTTCTTGTTTAAAATTTTCTTTTCTCATGTCTTATTCATTTAATGCAAAATTTAAATATTGATTTAAAATATAAGTTGGGAGTTATGCCACCGATTGCTATTTGTTTTGTGTCTGTCAACATTCATTGTCAATCATAAACTTTAGAATATTTTCAGCTTCTGTGCAGAAATTGCTAATTCAATTTCAACCAATTATAATGTAGTATAGAACATTTATGGGCAAAGGGAGGAACAATCCAATAATAGCACCTTGATCAGAGGCTTGTTGTATTATACTCAGGTGACTGTTAGGGACCTCAGGCCTCTTGTTAATTGTTTTAGCCAGAACAAACAAAGATAAAAAATAATCAATGCAAAAAATCAGTTTATAATCAACATGTTTATACATCTACATACTAGATAAGAATTTGAAATTAATTGCACATTTGATGGCTCTTGTGGCATTTTGGGCATGTAGATAATTCCACACTGAAAGTTTTGCAACAGATGCTTATGTGCTTCACCAGTAGTATTAAAGCCCCCGTTAAGGATCAGTTCATTTTGCATCATGCTATTGCTTGGACATGAAAGAAAATTTTGTTTGTTTTGCGTAGTGGAAGCATCAAGAAACGTGGGTCCAATGATTCTTCCTATGCAGCATCAATGTAAGCTAACCCCTGCCACATATAACCAATCAGTACCACTCTTACATGTAGCTAATCAGTGTTATTTATATAAACTAATCAGTGTACTTCTTGCATGTAACCTTTGTGTCACTTGTTGGAAATTAGTACATGTATCGTAATGATTCTGTCTTTTCCCACCAATGTACAGTGTAATTTTTCTTCACATGTGCAAAGTTATTTATATATATTATATGCATATATATGCATGCACCCATTAGATACTAGTATTACAAAGGCGGATCCAGGGCCAGTGTGCCGGGCACCCCCCCCCCCCCCTACCCTGTTTGAAATTTTTGTATGTAAAACTTATATATGTCCATTATCCTAAAATCAAGGAGAAACATGTCTTATTTTTAAGAACTTGTCAGCCTCCGGGGTCTTCGCCCCCGGACCCCAAAAAGTGACTTGCTTTAGACCAATTGGGGCTTCAGAACAGCCGCCTGACCATCTGCTTTCTAGTGCCCCCCCCCCCCCCCCTTTACAAAATTCCTGGATCCGCCACAGTATTACCCTGGGATACAAAGGAATATAAATATAGTCTACCTTTATATACAGTATAGTCTGTATTATGACATATAATCTTCTCTGATTATATCAGGATTAAATATACATCCTCATTTTTTTCGACAGAGGAAATGATGTTTGAAAAAAGATTATTTAGTGCATTTAACCAATGTTTTCATCATTCTCTTGGTACAGTGTATTTAGTCTGTCTTTGTGTATCCGTGATTTTCTTTTATCCCTGTGGTTCTGCATGTTTATTAACAATCAGTTTTTTATTCCTTACCAAAAATCTTTCCTAATTGATTTGTGCATGTCCCATTGAATTTTTAAATTTCTTCATATTGTTTCTTTACCACCTCAATTTGTCAATAATTCAGTTCACCTACAATCAATGTGTATAAATATATTCAATTCAAAATCTTTGTTTTATTTCAAATTTTATCGATTGTGTATTTCGAAAGTAAACCTGACATATGGAAAATAGTGGGAACAATTCCTCTTTATTAATTTAAGAACCGTTTTTAATTTTCGGCTCTGTGTTGGTTATTTCAGGACTTCCTCGGCTCCCAGTATGACCAGTAGTCTGTCAGGTAGCTTACCAGGAATGGGAAACTCCAACAATGTCAACAAAACCAAAAAGAGGCAAGTACTTTTCTCTCTATCCCAATCCATTTCTGTGTAATGAAATGACAAGTGGGTTTTCATCAGGCTCTCTGGTTCCCTTCCATCAAAATAGCTGTCTTATGCCAACATCCATACAAAGGACCCAAAATTGTATGTATACAGCAGATAGTAATCATATATTTATTTTTCTCTTTAAATGATGCTGATGTTTCTTTTGTTACAGGACAGCTAGAACACTTTACCAGTGCTTGGCTGACAATGAATCAGAATTGTCTTTTGAGCCAAATGTCATCATTCAGAATGGTATGTTCAAAGATTTACAATACTTACATAATGGTTACTCTTATTACTATGACTGCAAATTAAATTGATAAGTAATTCAATAATATATAGGAATCAAATCTCACAAAGACAACATTACTGGGTATTTTTAAAAATGATTTTTCATCGAAAATTGAGAAATATCTTTTCTCAGAGTCAGAGAGGGGATTGTCTATGTCTTATGTGCCCACTTTCCTTAATATTTTTTTCAAAACTGAAGATGTGTTTCAAGGTGAAATTACTATGAAGGTATATTATGTTTTTTAACAGTGAGAGAATCCAAGGAGCCAGGATGGTTGGAAGGATCATTAAATGGGAAGCGAGGATTGATCCCGGAGAACTATGTAGAGTTTGTAGACTGACCCTGCTCCTACAGTGGCCTTATTGTGTGACCGCCAGGATGTCACCCCCGGAGGATAGAGACATCTGTATATACTCATCTACATCATCTTATCATGGAGATTGTCAAGATGTGATTCACTGTGCTGGACATGGTGGGAGTTACAAAGGGGAGTAACAAAGGGTCATGTGACTAAAGGGTCATGTGATCAGTCACATGACCAAAGGCCACTGTTTTAAATATTGGCAGAAAATGAATGCAATAGTGAGTGTGATGTATAGTTGTTGGTATTTTGTTTATTATTTACTTGGATTTCAAACCATATTTTTTACATGTCCATATGATGATGTATTTAAATTATTAGAAATAAGACTTCTTTCATAATGTGTACATTTTGTGGTAATTAATGTACTTCTGCCATCTTTGTCACAAGAATTGTAATGCAGTTCTCTTTTCTTTAATATTTTATCTAAGAAGCTAAGATCATTTAAAGATGAAGGTCAAATTTGCAGCCAGTTTATAGTTTTTTTAAGGATTAAAAAAACTTCTGTCTCACTGGTTAACATTCCTAGTGTTTACAGGTATCTTTACCTTGTAATCTTTACAATGTGTTTACACTGTATTCTATGTTTACACTTTACGTACTGTTTCACGCTATTGCCTTTACACTATGTCTAAACTGTCAAGCTGTCTGCATGTTTACTATTCATTTATTGCTTAAATGCAAAGTTATTTAATAGCTTGTCTAATCATATTATACTTCATATTAGCACCTATTATTTCTGTCACAGTTTATTATGAAACTTAAAACAGTATTATCATCATATAGTTGAGGGAAATTTCTTAAAGATTCAAAGACATTTTCTAGAACCTTTGTTTTTAAGAGATTTATTACTTCTTTACACAGTGTAGGAATCATGAATATATATACTGCAACATTTAGGATTTTGTATGCATTGAGATTCACGCAGACCTTTCCTCCAAACACATAAACAAGATGAAATTGTGTCTTTTTTTATTAATTTTCAGTGATTTTTTTTTTTTTGCTTTATGCAGCTTTTGGATTTTTTGTTGTATAAGATTTAGTTTCATGGTTGTTTTTTAAATATTGGTATACTGCTTTCTCACTGTTGGTAGATATATTTGGCAAAGACCAAACTTTAGGAGGTTAAATATTTCACATATAAAGAAGATGGGCGTATAAGGCGGGCAGAATGCCTATAGCGCGACAGATAAGAAGTGAAAAAAATTTAATCTCAATTATATCCAAATTTTATTTCATATTTCATCTAATATTAAAGTATACTTTATGTAAAATCTCTATAATTTACAAAAATCTCACAAAAACTGAAAATATTTGCCTATGAAAAAGCATACACAGACTTAAAAGAACAAAAACAATCATTTTTTCATACTTTAATAAAATTTTTCAATGTGAGTGGGTCTTCGCTCCATTTTTTTGAAAGATAATCCTAAAAGTTTGCGATAAAATACATATTTTTGGGTTTACAAAAAAATGGAGGGAAGACCCACTATACCTTAAAAATACACTTTTATGACAAAACATTCGCATCTTTCCGCGAAATACTTCAAGTCCATTAAGTCAAGGGTCATATCACAAACATGATTTAAATGCCACAACAATACATGAGCCATGTAGCATAGTGGTTAGTGCGTTAGTCTCAAAGCAGTCTGATACATCGGTATTTTATTGCTGGGGTTCGAATCCCAGGAATAACATGGATTATTTTTATGAATGAAATTTTTTAAAGAGATTTATTTTTTCTCAGAAAATGTTTTTTTTTCTCATAATGTCATAAATTTCAATGATGAGATGTAAATTTAAATACTCAATTTTTATATCAAATGTGAGTTCTTAATATCTGACGCTATAGGCATTCTGCCCGCCTTATCCGCCATAGGCATTTAAAATTGGGAATTGGGGTTTCCGTTTTTGTTGGTTTGCCCCCCCCCCCCTCCCCCCTTTCAATTTCCTTCCGACGCCTATGCTTGCAGTACCATTCAAACTTTAAAAAATGTCAGAAATCATTTTGCGATATTTGTACATTGATCGCTATAAATGAAAAGGTCAGTCGGCGATGTTTTCCTTTAAATCACCCCCCCCCCACCAAAAAAAAAAAACAATCTTAAAATCGATCTTCGAAAGGAATAACAGCCTAAAATAAGATAGTTTACGATCGCTACCTCTGTTCCTGACAAAAATCAAGCCTCTTTCTAAGCTGGAACATCTTCACACGTACCCAATAATTATCAGTCATTCCGATTTTTTTTTATCGTCGATACCCCAGACGCATCATTCAAAATACGATCCGTTCAGATGGAGAAAGATATTTATACAGACTCCGGACCATGGCTTGACAAGATGAAGTGGGCGGTGCTAAATGTCAACCAGCTTTTCTCTCATTGGTCATTTGGTACAAGTAACTTACACAATAGATATTCATTGGTTAATGGTAAATACACTCAGTTTTTAATTCACTCGGGGCTCCGCCCCTCGTGAATTAAAAACTGTGAGTGTATTTACCATTAACCAATAAATATCTATAGTGTAACTATAACAAAAATTATGGATTATGTTGAAAATTACGCCAGACGATGGGCTAGATATGAAAAAGAAAACATTGACACCTTGTCAGAATGGATTAAATGTATCAGATCCATGTTAAAGTCACGTATTAAAAGATTGAGGGGCAAAATGAAAACCATCTATCCTTCTGTGTTCAATAAACCAGAAGTGAAAAAAGAATTAGATAGATTACACGATCAGTACGTACTGGTTCCTGCCGACAAAGCAGGTAACAACATTGTCTTCGTTTGTAAGGCCCATTATATAAATTGCATTCTAGAAGAACTTGGATTTAATTCTACAAGTGGTAATCCTACTTATACATATACTACTCTTTCTAAGGAAGAAATTCTTCAAAATCACCTGTCAGTTTTGAATACTTTTAATATTCCACAGAGCCAAAATGAATTTGAACTACCTTATATATATTGGATTCCGAAACTTCATAAGAATCCTTACAAACAAAGATACTTTCGTTACTTCTCACGAAAATATTGACAGTAGTGAAGGAAAAACTTCAAGAGTACTGTACAACTATATATATATATTTATATATTCAAAAAGTGGTGTAAATCAGATGTGGATACTTAAAAATTCTAAAGAACTTTTGAACAATTTGAAATCACAAGACTTTACAAAAATCAACAGCATAAAAACTTACGACTTTTCAACTTTATACACAACAATTCCGCACGACAAATTAAAATCCAGGCTTTTTGATATCATTGACAGCTGCTTCTTCAACAAAAATGGAACTCGTAAGTTTACTTACCTCGTCATTGGTCATTTGAAAAATTATTTTGTTAAAACAGATTCTGATTGCACACATAAGTACTCTGAAGTTGACATCAAGAAGATGCTTGAGTTTCTGATTGACAATATCTATGTGGTTTTTGGAGACCAGGTATTCCAACAATCTATTGGAATTCCCATGGGTACAAATTGCGCTCCGTTATTAGCAGACTTATTTTTATATTCATATGAAGCAGAATTTATGCAAAATCTTTTACGTGAAAAGAAGAAAACACTTGCTGTGGCCTTCAACTCGACATTTAGATATATCGACGACGTATTGTCAATTAATCATGATAATTTCCATTCCTACGTCGACACGATATATCCTGGTGAGCTTGAGATTAAAGATACCACAGAGTCCGACACTTCTGCTTCATACTTGGATATTTTACTTGAAAAAGACACAAATGGTAATCTAACAACCAAGCTATATGATAAACGTGATGACTTTAACTTTTCTATCGCCAACTTCCCTTACTTATGCAGCAGTATACCTTCATCACCTGCATACGGAGTATTTATATCTCAATTGATTCGATACGCAAGAGCATGCTCTACGTACGAACAATTTCTTAAACGAGGTAAATTATTGACAAGCAAGTTGATGAAACAAGAATATCAACAGTCTCGTTTAAAGTCATCATTTCGTAAATTCTATGGTCGATACAATGACCTTGTCAGCAAATACAATTTATCATTGAATGAAATGCTGACTGACGTTTTTCATACCAATTGTTAGTCCATTATTTATACACTGAATTGACCACGGATTTTTTCTGTTATTTCCTGATTATGACAACGAGCTCACGGCGGGTGTGACCGGTCGGCAGGGGATGCTCACTCCTCCATGGCACCTGATCCCACCTCTAATGTTTCGGAGGTCCGTGTTTGCTCTGCTCTCATTTTGTATATTTGTTTAATGGACGTTGAGATTGAATACTGTTCGTTATTTCCATATCCTTCATCATAAAGAAAGGAATGAATGAATGCATCAAGTGTGAAATGTAGCAGGGAAGGGTTGCCATCTTCTCTTATTGCGTTTCTGGAATCTGGATGAGGAGGGTTTCCTTCTGCTTTTTTGTTTAGTAGACGTTGAGATTGGGTGCTGTTCGTTGTTTCCATATCCTTCCTACAATTGGGAGTTTGCATTCCTACTATTCGTACAGCCCACCCTCCTGCATACAAAACTTCTGCAAAGTCCTCTATTTTGGCATGCACAACGCATTTCGTTTAAGCTACAAGGAAACAATCGTTGTAAAGGAAATGTTTACATAAAATAGTGTAAAAAAAAAGGAATGAAGGAGGATTCATAAAATATTGTTAGCCCAATTCTTTACTAAAAGAAAAAAGAGGAAAACACATTATGTATATTAAAGTTGAATTTTACTAAAATATTTTTTTAAAATAGAAAAATATTTAAAGTGACATGTATAAAGACAAGACTTCTATAGAATCCGCCATTTGCAATGTACTTTCACTTTCTATTTGGACAAAATAAACAGGGAAACCAACTTTCTAGAAGATATCCAAGTTCAATTTGCCCTTCATTGATAAACATTTTGTTTCTGCGATGATGGTTTTTACTAAGACTAATTCGTCGTCATATTGTTTTCCTTGTCGCACTCTATTAATTCGTCGTTATATTGTATTCCTTGTCTCACTCTTACAATTAATTCGTCGTTATATTGTATTCCTTCCCCATGGGGATCCGGGTTAGAATATATCCTCAGTACCCCCTTGCTTCTCGTAAAAGGCGACTAAATGGGGCGGTCCTTCGGATGAGACCGCAGAAACCGAGGCCCCATGTCACAGCAGCTGTGGCACAAAAAAGATCCCTCCCTGCTCAAAAGCCGTAAGTGCCGCGTATAGGCCTAAATTTGAAGCCCTTCACCGGCAATGGAGACGTCTTCATATCAGTGAAATATTCTGGAGAGGGACTTTTAACAGTATACAATCAATCAATATCCTAAGTAATTTTAAGTAAAGCCACTGCTTGATATTCTTAGTTTTTTCTAACGAGACTGCTACCCACTAAAGAACGCAGATCTAGAAGTTCATACCCTCGACAATTTTCTAACTCTGCGAAATTCCCGAGAATGTCTTTGATAGAGACAGGGTTGTCATTTTAGGATAATGTGAAAATTGCAATAATCGAGGAAACTGTAAGCAGATAAATAGATTTTTAAAGTGAAAATACGGCGCATCTCTTCAAAAACAGACTTTTTAGGTCACCTGAGTGAACTCAGGTGACCTATTGCTCTCTGTTTTTGATCTTCGTCGTCTGTCGTGTATAAACTGGGTGCCCAGGGTTCCAAAAGTGAAAACATTTGAAATGAAAACATTATTAAAATTTATCAAAGTGCGAATGTATGGAAAAAAAATTTCATTGGTAGTTTACAAAACTCTTGTGATGAACGACTGTTTAGAACTCGGTGAAATTATATCTTTACTTTTTATCCTACTACCATGCAAGTTTTTAAAGGAAACTTTTGTAATGTAAAGCATATTATTTGTAAGTTATTTCTGTAATTTTTAGAGTTTTTTGTGTATCGTACAAAGTCAGGAATTTTTTTTAATCAAGTTTTAAGTCGGAAAGGTTCTTAGAATTGATTATTCTTGTACTCGTTAATGTAATTTGATCTATTATTACCTGAAGTCACGGCGTAAGGCAATTCTACATGTATGCAATACAGTGCAGTTCATAACAAGAAAACTTATATAATTATGTTTCTTAAAAAATACTTACTCCTTCTTGCAGAAATTAAACATTGGGCAGGAGATCTACAGTGACCCTGTGAGCTGCCTATGAGGGCAGGTTTTATAGAGGTTTTATAGAGCATTTGGTTGAGGTGTGGCACTCCAAGTGAAACACTTGAGGGAGGATTTCTGGGTCAACTTCACGGATGATCAAACTGTACACACAACCTACAACTTCTCGGATGATCAAACTGTACACACATCCTACAGTAACTATAAGCAAATAAATGATATACAGGGTTTTTAACTGTTTTGGTTTGTTAAAATAAATTCTTAAGATTTTTTTTTCAAATCATGGTGCAAAATATGAAGTGATGATAAAGGCATTCTGAAAATGTGACACAAAAAGATACATTCTGACAGCAGCATATTAATAATGTAAATGAGTATGATTTTTAAACCCCACTGAAGATTTAACCAACATGTTTTTGAAACAAAAGTTAAATAAGGGCATAAACACGTTAATAGTTTATACATGTTTAAAAAAATCTTTATATCTGCAGCGAGGTCCTCTAAATCATTAAAAATAGAAGATTTTTTTCCATTGTTTCTTCAGCTGTCTAAGTGCTTTATGCAATGCAAATGTTACATATTCATTTTAATGTCTTGCCTGTCTAATAAACATACCTTTACTGTGTCAGATGTCCTAAAGGGTCCCATGGTCCTC